ACAGGTGGCTTACTAGACATTGAATTTGAAGTTGAAAATAGCATCATCAGAAAGAGCAAGTTGAATTACATATTCGATAAACAAATTTTGCTGGTGCATCCGTATAAAGTGAAAGCTCACAAAAACCAAAATAATCATTATTTGGAGCAATATGACCCAATCGGGGTGGTATTCGGCGATTGTCGCTTGGAAAAAATTCGAATAAGCCTACTTTTCTGGATAAGATTTAAATATCGATGGACTTTGAGGTCAAAAACTTGTTTGTAGGGCTTTTAGAAAGTGATTCAGCTGTTCCTTATTGTCCGAGACACTTTTAAAAATGCAATATTTTTAATCAGCACATTGAACTCTATCAAACGAGAAGTGCTTTCACTAAAACCAATACAAGAAATGTTTTTCGATCGCTGAGGGGGACCCCAGGTATTAAAAAATGAGTGACTATGAAATACAAAATAAACAAGTGAAAAATAATCAGGGATGAATGCTGATTCTCAGAATAATAAAATTAGGTCCGAATTTTTTGCGACACTAAATCCATAATCTGACACATCTCTTTTTTCAAAACTCTAAATCACTCAAAAAACTCAGTTTTCAGCTTTTCCCGTTTGGGAAAAAAGCGGATCATGGAATCCTTTGTATTCTCAATATATCGCCTTTAACCTCTGTATCTATAATGTGTCCCCGCCGCATTCCGGATACGGAAGATATAATGGGGGTCCAGAGGATACCGAGATCCGCTTTTTCCCCCTTGCTGTATACTCTTTTCTCAATATGTTTTAAGAATTTTTATAGAAAAATTGTTTTTTTTGCGTAGTCCGTCATTTGTGTAGATTACATTTTCGGATATTGTCATATCAGCATTAGTTATGCAATTTTTCTTAAAGATTACTTTTGATGTAAAATCACACTTAGTAAAACAATTCGATTATTCAAAATCCAACTTTTAAAGTATAGCAGATTTTTTAAACTTTTCTTCAAAATACGAAAGATAAATAGATAAAGCATGTTATGAATAGATTAAATTTCGCTCTACAAAACTACTATACTAAAAGCTATTTCACATAACCATTGATATAAGTTCCAATGAAAATACAACATAGGTAAAAACAGAATTCTACATAAACATAATTTTCGCTGTTTTCAAGCATTTTTTCACAAATAATTGATTTTGATAGTGATGAATATCATTTCATTTCATTTGACGATTATTTTAATCAGAAGATTAATCAATAGATAAATATTTTCTGATGAATTGATGAGTTCAGAACTAATTACTTTGATAATCTGATGTTTTATGCACATAAAAGAAAGTTTGCTGTTGACAAATGAGTGAAGAACGATCTAATGGCCTGTATAGTAGATCAAATCTAAATTTATAACTTTCAGTTTCTATAATTATCTCAGCAGCTAATTGAGTAAAGATCTTCAACTTTTGTTACTCTTTTCTTATGTAGTTGAATGTATCCACTTGAGATTTTTATTTGTGCAAAAAAAAATTTCACGATCACTTAGTTTCATAAGCGTGAGAATCGTTCTCATTTCAACAATCATGACCTAAACTATTAGGTGCATACCTAATCATTATTTTATTAGTATCATTTACATGTGCTATGACAGTTGTTTTTTTTTTCTAAATTTGGATTGTTGTATTCTTCAAGAATAGACAATTCGAAATTTTTTAATGAATCAAAGAAATTTTCAGTATATAAGAAAATAATTTTATTTTATTGTCATAAATACTTAAATAAACCTAAAAATGTTGAAAGTAAGATCGTATAATTTTATATAAGAATTTTTGTAATAAGATTCGATAAGACTTTTTCACAATCTCAAATATTTAATAATATTATTAATACCCTCATTATCAGATGAAAGTTAAATATTTGAGATTATTCTTAATCTTATGATAAAGATATAAAGAATAATACTATTAGTGAAAATTTTTATTTCTATATTCTTGTCAAACTGATATTCATTATATGACGGAAATTTTTCTTTAATATAAAAATTCATAATAGACATACAAAAAAAAAAGATTCTTTTACAGCATAGTTCACTTCTTTTTTAATCAATGATCAATAAATAATTTTTTTTTTAAATACTAGAATAAGGCATTATCGTTAAAAAACAAATAAGATATTGAATATTATATTTTACTGCATAAAATAAATTTACATTGAATGATCTTCATCTATATGAAATTCAACAGTTGTTGGTGGTTTAATAACTGGATTATTTAAAAAAAGTCCATGAGCAATAGCACCACGTTCAACTTTTTCTAAATTTATTTGATGTAAATAAACTTTGGCTCTTGATACATGAATATAAAAACCAACAGCAAATATAATAAATGGACAACCAACAAGACACAATGTAATAAGTGAAGATATAGCAGCTAAACGTGAAAAACTGCTTACTTTAATCCATATTATAATACCAAGTTCAATAAGAAATAAAAAAAGACCAAGACCAGTCGATACAACCCATGCAATTTCAATGTAAATATTTAATGATGATAATGGTTTATTATTTTCATTATTTATCCAACAATCACTTTGACGTATAACACTTTTTAATTCAGGTAATATACACATTGACATTAGTAAAGCAAGTAAATGAATTCCGACTAATAAACATGATATTATTGCATAACATATTATTAAACCATTATTTGAACTATAATCTTTATATGAATCTAATGATAATTCAACAATTGCAACCTTAATAAACAAAATATTCGATATATATATTTAATTAAAGAAGAAGAAAAAAACAGACTTACAATAGCAAATCCACTTAATAATGCTGATGTTTCACTGACACTTTCAAGTTTTGATTTACGATAAAAAAGACTTTGTATTCGTTGATCATTTTTTTGTGAAGCTCCTAAATAAAAAAAATATATATAAATTCTTCTAGTTAATATAACATATATAATGCTAATATTATAAGTTATGTAAAATGATATATTTATGTACCTTTGGTAGACAAATATAATGAAGAATCTGACATATTCCTCGTATTGATATTTAATGCACAATAGTACTACGAAGAAAATTTGAAAAATAAAACCATCAATTTGTTCTAATGTTTTTTTTTCTTTCTTCCTTCTGCCATGTAGTACACAAATAGTCCAATAATTTTTTTTTTATCGTAACTATTAACACGATGCTTAAATTCACTAGTTCTCTTGTTTCTTCATTCGTTCGCTTACTTGTCGACCATTCTAAATAAACGATATAAATCATTTGACATACGTAATGAAGTGAAACACATTTTTCTTTTCTTCGTATGATTCGTCTAGGTGAAAAGACATATTTTATAAATAAGCTGAAATTGATACATTAAATAGATGGTAATTAAGATCGAACGATAACTATTTGTAAAAATACTTTACATTTCTATGGAAAACATAATAATCGAAAGGTTTTTTTTTGTGGGTGTAATTTACTCAAATTCAAAATTATAAGAAAGAAAATCGTCAGTCTTAAAGTTTGTTGTTCTAAAGACATAGTTCACATTACGATGAAAATCAAGACTTTTTTTCAATTATGATTTGTATGTCATACTAATATTATTATTTCGATCTCATATTTTACTTAAGATCGAATGGATATCAAAGGGATTCTCTCTGAACATGTTCAAGCTTGTTTCTATACAAAGAAGAGAAATGTTGAACTCTTCTGGTTTGATTAACTATTTATAATATCGAAAGATGTTACGTTTTCGTTACTGCTACATGAATTATAAAAGAGACTAGATTCTTCACAATTACACTTTTGAAATTTTACTATTCACTCGAGTTAAAGAATCTGATAAAATTATTTCTTTAATATAGTTTTAGTTCCACATATTTAGAGCAATATATGGAGGATAGTTTGAAAAAAAATTTGATTTTTTTTTCATCAGATTGATAATCATGTCTCTAGAATGAAGTTTGTTAATCTTCCTGGTGAGATAAGTTCTCCAACTAGTTAATTAGTTTTGAGTTGATATGACATTTTGACGATATATTTTAACTCAAAAGCTTAGTTTTGCTTAGGAACATTAAAAAAAATGATTTTATGAATTTCGATGTGAAATTTTACACAAAGTGTTGTGAAAATCTCAGGCGTTTTGATTTGCTCCTAACCCGAAATAAGAACATCGAGTCTACCAATATATCCATGACTGATGTAAAAGACATGTGAAACTTCCATGATAAACTATTCAATTTAAGGCTTATCTCTGTCCTAGATTTCAAATCAAAATTCGAAAATCATTTTTGTTGGTACTGCTAACCGAGACTGTAGCTTTTATTTGATAAAACGTTCCGCATCTCGACAGAAAGAAGCTAACAAGACGAATCATTTTCTGGCGTATTCATAGCTTATTAGAATCTAAATGATGCACATTGTTCCAATTCAAAATCAATTGGTGAATTTTTCTGGTACGATCTACAAGGAACCAAATAATGAAGGTGTAAATTCTATCCTTAATTCTTTTTCAAGATTGTTTGATTTCTAATAAAATTTAATTGTGATTAAATATGGATCTTGAGGGTGTGGGTGTGGGTGTGTACGGGTGTGGGATGTGGGTGTGGGTGTAGGTGTGGGTGTGGGTATCAATTTTCTCTTTGTTTACATCCACACTCGTGCCCGCTCCCAACCACACATCCTATGCCCACACCACACACTCACATCACAGGCTTACACTCACACCCACACCCATATCTATACCCACACTTACACCCACAACGTAGAGGTCTGCGGTTCAAAAAATTACCCGGGACCAAACCGGGAACCGGAACCGCGTTTCCGGGTCCGGTCCCCAATGATTCAAAAATTGCGGTTCCGGTTCGATTCCAAAAATATTCCATAGAACCGCGGAACCGTTTAGTTATCTGAGTGTGGCTGTGACTTGGAGTTCATTAGATATGGTTATGCATGTAGTATGTTGTTGAATAGAAGGGTCGCATCTGA